GCTTTTTTAAGTTTTAAATCATGTACATATATTAGTTATTAAAAAATGAAATAAGTTAATTTTTTTAAAGAGGTGAGGGAGAATGGAAGGGGGAAGAAGAATCCTAAAACGGGTGGTTTTCCAAAACGATGTCATCAATTTCACTATTTTATCTGGTTATTATGCAGAAAACTGCTTAATCTGAAGCAGGAGACTTAGCCTAGATGTACAGAAGGAGTTGCCAACACGAAGGAGAACTAAACACTGGAATGAAGAGAGGAAATAATCTTATCTGGTGGCCTTGAAAACAGGCCACTGTCACTGGTCTGCAGGAAGGCAGCAGCAGGTCATAGACCACAGGCTCTTAAGTTAGAGGCCTGGGTTAAAGGCCTGACACAGGTTCCTCCTGCCCCTCTCACCAGGATGGGGCAAACTGCTCAGCCTAAGCCCCAGCTTCCCTCATCTAGAAAATGGGGTTAATAACAGTGCCACCCCGTCACTTTGCTGCTTTGCCTATCTCACTGTGCAGAGGACCACACAAGCCTGTACTTGCCTCTAAGCTCTCCACAAGGCCCTGGGGTTTGGAGGTATTGCCTCTCGGAGGAAGAGCCAGTGTCAAAAAGACAGTTTTCTCTATTAAATTCTTACACAACCCTGTTCGATGGGCTTCAGGCCAAGGTCAGAGGATGTGCCACACACATTACAAAGGCACAACGGTTCAACAATCGGAAATCATCAGTGAAATGAAAAAAAAAATCCTCACATTGATTATAGCTGCAATTTGGTAAAAGAGCTGGCTGTGCTTGGAGGAGGAGGAGGCACCACAGTTTCCTGCCAAATATCTAACCCTTTCACAACGCCTGTCTGGCGAGCCTGAGTGCTCCAGGAAAAGGCCACCAATAAAATTCTTTCCAAGGGTCCGTGTGGAGCAGGGAGAGAGGAAATGCAGTCAGCTCTTTTTTCTCTGCAGGAAGGGAAGGCTGAACAACTGCACATCAGGAGAGAAGGCAAACAAATTGCCCATTCAAGCCAAAATAAGCTGCTCCTGGGGGAAGCAAACCAGCTGGAGCCAGCTCAGCCAGACATGGAGGTGAGGGCCCAAGACGGAGCTGGGCCTGGGGAGCCTGCCTCTGGCAGGCAGGGACCTCCTGCGCAAGTGGTGGCCACATGCCCTCCTCTCACCTCCCTGACCTCAGTCCACACTCACGAATGGGAGCCAGCCAGCCAGCCAGCTCTGTCAGATGTGGAGGGAAATACTGGGTGGAAAGGAAGAAAGAAACAAAGGATGCAAACTAGCACACTTGCCAAGTGAGCGAGCACCTGCTGAGCACCTGTAATGTGGCAGGCACCCGACACACCTATGCCATTCGGAAGAACAACTTTGGGGGTGCGTTGACTTCACAGATGAGGAATCAGGCTCAGTGAGGCAGAGTGACTATACAAGGCACACAGCTAGAGAGGGGCCAGGCCAGCCAGGCCAATGGCTTCTGCGCTCTCCTTCCTGATTGTCACTCGAGTTTCTCAGCGCTCAGCTCCAGCAGTTCCTCCTTTGTCTAGAGCATGACATCACACCACCTCACCATCCTGTCCAGCCATGGCAGTGCCTGGCAGCAAACACAACATGTCAAGAGAAACTTCACTGGAAAACTAGGGAAAGAACAAACCACGTCGCAAAAGAAAAGGAAGAAAAGAAACCTGGAAGCAAACGAAGTAGCAGAGTAGAATTATTCTGATCCCCTAAGAAACCTGCAAAACGGCTGCTGTGGCGCTCACCTCAGGCTGGACATCAGGTCCTGAGTCCTTGTCCAGGACAGTGGATAGCAGAATCCTGACCTGGAACAAGTCTGGGCTAGCAGATCCCCCAGACTGGGGTCCCCAGGCTCCAGTTTACAAATCCATTCTGCAGCTATGCTGACATCCTGCCCTGGACCGTGACATCCTGGGTGGGGAAGAGCTTTCCTTCTCCAGCTTCTGAGATTTCCATCCTGAGCCTCAGGCCCTCTTATAGTTATCTAACAATTCCTCCCTTCCTTTAAGACCTTATATGTATAATAATAATAATAACAATAATACCAGCTAACATTTATTGAACATTTACTTCTGTGACAGGCACAGTTAGCACATTGCATAACAACCCTATGAGGTCAATAATACGATACTCTAAATGAGGCGATCAAGACACAGAGAGGTTGAGCCAGTTATACAAGGTTATACAGCTCTTAAGTGGAGGAGCCAGGACTTGAATCCAGGCCATCTGACCCCAGGGCCTGTGCTCTTCTTAACCACTACCCATCTTGCCTCTGGCCCCTAGGATATGAGAGGGTCGAATGAGCAGTCTTGGAAGTCAGGTAGACAGTTCTACCACTTACTGCTACTTAGCCCTGGGCAACCTGTTTAACCTCAGAGTCTCAGTTGTCTTTTCCATAAAGTGGGTGCAAGAAATAAATACACTTTGTGGAGTTGTGTCCATTCTAAGACAGAGTAGGTCCTGAATTATGTCCTCCCACCCGTCTCTATTTCACCTCCCCTTCCAGTTTGATTTGTCTGTTGCACATTCATTAGACATTAAGGCTGCTTCTACCCTGGAGCAAAGTTTGGCTTCTTTATATTCCGTTCTAGTGTATTCTATAACTATTTCGTGCCTATCACATCTGGGACCCAGCGCCAGGTACCGAGGGGCTGGCTCTCGGGCAATGAGAGTGAAGGCAGAGAAATCCACGGAAAGTGGGCAATGGAGAAGGGTTGCGGGAGGAGCTGGCTGTGAGAAGCAGGCTTTAAGCTGGTAGGAACTCTCCTCCAGCTTGTCTCCCTCCTGTTGGCCTCCTGCCAGGGCTGGCAGGCAGCTTCTTGTCGCTTCCTGTTGCACAGCTTGCACCCTGCAGGGCACCCACTGAGGGCCCCCTTCCTTGAGGGGTGGGGAGCCTGTGCTCCCAGCTCACACGCAGGCAGGCAGACATGTCCGGAGCCCTGTGATGGGGCCCACCTCTCCTGACTCCGGAACCATTCATTCAGCAGACTTGAGCCAGGCCCCAGGCACTGAGGACAAAATGGAAAACGACAGGCCTGCCCTCAAGGAGTTGACCAGCATGCCCTGCTCCTCCACTGCCTCTGATGTTTTCCTGACTGGGTGACAAGGACACACCTTTCCAGAACGTTATCATTTCCTCTCCCAACTAAGCATTACTTCACTAGAACAGTTACACTAACAAGTGATTCTCCTTTCTCCTCACCCTGACCGAGAGAAATAAGAAACAAAGAGAATTACAAATATATACATATTTCTTATGCAGCTCCTATATCCCAGGTAGTTCACATACATTATCTCACCTAATCCTCACAATATCAATCCTGCAAGGTGGAATTATCCTCATTACAAAGATGAGGGAAAAAATGGAAGCTCACACAGAGATGGAGTCAGTTTGAACCAAGGCCGTCTGCCTGCAGAGTCCATGCTCTTTCTACAGCCCTAGGCTGCCTCTGTCAGCTCGGCCTGCCATCCTGCTAACTCTGGCTCCCTCCTTCATCTGGATTTTGTTCTTTCATGTATTTAGATGCCTGGATCTTCTTCTTTGTGCTGAGCCCAGAAGAAGCCAACCTCTATCCCAGTCCAGTGACAGCAGCAGCAGCAACATCCTAGGCACTGTCTCTGATTCTTTGATTAGCTTGTCTTAATTACACCCAGGCTGGAGCAGTTCTACTATAAAGTATCTGGCATTGCTGCAAAGCATGCAGGTTTGCTGTTACATTTTCTCGCTCCTTCTCTGACTCCAGCCCCTTTTCCTATCCCCCCCCCCCCCCCAGCTGGCTGGCAGCCGACCTCCTCTGCCTCCTTGCACATCACGTTCGGGCCTGCCAAGTAGTGCTTCAAACTGCTGCCACCCCAGGCAGCAGAGCCAGTCCAGCTCAATCCAGAAAACGGTGCTGAGTCTCTGCTGAGCGCCAGGCACTGTTCTGGGCCCTGCACACAGGCAGGAAACAAAAAGAAAACACAGGGCCTTGCCCTTCAGAAGCTGAGAGTCAGAGGCTGGGAGAGAGAAGTAGACAGGAAGAGAAACCACTGACACAAGGCAGGTAGAAATGGGGTTGTAACAGAGTCGTAAAATATCAGAGTGGGAGGGAACCTTGGTTTCTGTTTTAACCCCAGAGGAGGGCAATTATTTGAACTAATGATATCAGATAATAAGATCCAACACTTCTAAACCTCTTACTAGGAGCTGAGTGCTGCTCCCAGTGCTCTACATGTACTGACTCCTCCAACCCTCACACCAGCCTGTGAGGCAGGCGCCACTGCCCTCCCCTCTTCTGGGCTCAGATGAGGAAACGAGGTATCGAGGGGCTAAGCACCTCATCCAAGTTCACACAGCTGGTGAGTGGAAGCCTGCACCGAACTCGGGCAATCAGGCCCCACATGCTGTCCCTTCAATGGACTGTGAGATGGAGACTGAGTCTACCTGTGCAAGCAATGAGAAGGTTTCTAGAAGGAAGTACTCATAGGCCTGATTATAAAGACAGAGAACCTTGGTCATCCAGAGTCATCTAAGAGGAAACCTCAATTAATCAGAGGCTTGGCTTCAACTGGGAGTTCCTGAGTGCCACGAGATACAAGGCAGTGAGCAGAGCCCCATATTTCCAAAGAAAGAGCCACCCAAGAGGAAAGAACTTGGTGTAAGGGATTTACTCAAAGAACCAGGAGCAGCCCGATCCTCTTCCTCTTTTATGTCTGGCTTTCTATACATGATGCTCCCAGCCTGTAAGATCTTTAACATCCTCAAATGCCACTTTCTGAGGCAAAGATGCCAGCTCAGCCACCTTAAAAAGACGCTCAGTGATGTGGATTGACATTTTTAGGAAAGGGGCTTCTAGTAAAACCTTGGTCAACCTAGACTTCCATTTCCCAGAATCTCCCCTCAACACACACACACACACGCACGCACCCTGGCCTTTAGTTAACCAAGAGTCTTCTCCAATTCTGCTACATGAGTTTCAGAATAAACACAGTTATCAGTACACTAATTACTTACTAATCACTGCCAGATTATGCTCTGAGCCACAAGAGACCTGTAAAAAGAAAGAAAATAAGTTACATTAGAGAAAGAATATGTATAGATACTTCAGCTAGTATATTTTATGATCACAGTTTTTTTTTAATGACACTAACATCCATTTTTGGAAAATTTGAGAATGTAGAAGAGGGTACCATACACAAAAGTTAAGATTATAATTACATTACACTCACAACTATATAAAAATTGGAAAAAAACACTCAGTGGAAATACACCAAGACGTTCAAGTATTTGTCTTTAGGAAGTGAAACAATGAGTGATTTTTTTAAAATCTTTTCTTCTTTCTACTTTTTCGTACTTTGCAAACTTTCTATAATGAGCATGTGTTACCATAAGAATGGAAATATTAAGCAATATAAATGACAGTTTTTGAAAACTGAACCAAGAAGACTATCGCTCTCATCTGGACTGATAAAATAAAGAATTCAGTGGAAACAGACTTGTCTGAGGAGAAATCTTGACTTTTCCTCATCTGCTCACTCTCCCTTTTACCTTCCAGCCACACAAACTATCTCCAGTTCTCTGAACACGACATGTTCTCTCACACCTCTGGGCCTTTGCATATGCTGTTCCTCTGCTAGAATGCCCTCTCCTTGACTGGCTACCTAGAAAACTTCTACTCATCCTTAAAATCTCAAAGTGTCCACTGAGATTCCTTTGCTGTTGCTTCTAGGCAGACTCAAGCACTCCTCTCATTACACAACCTGTTCGTACCCACATTGTAGCAACTACCATGCTGCCTTTTACAGTCTTCCTGTCTCCTCACCAGACTGCATGTGTCTCGAGAACAGGGCTGAGTCTTATTCACCTCTGTATTGCACAGATGGATTGTACAAGGCCTGGCACTCAGTTAACATCTGCTAACAGAGATGAGATGAATGAATGAATGAAAGAACAGAGTAAGTACATAAAAGAACAAATACCTAATACATACAAGACAACCATTTGGGGCTTTGAATCCAGTGTTTCCACCCAGTGAGAGACACTTGCCTTTCAGTCTCTGCACGTCCCAACTGCTACCAAGAGGAAGTGACTGGGAATGTGAAAGTGTGAACAGTTCCTCAGGCACGAATTAAAGGAGCTCGAGACTCAGGGGAAGCATCCTGTGACCTTTACCAGGATGCTCACTTCAGCTCCTGGAAGAGGAAGACCTCAGGTACTCCCGGAATGTCCGTGCTGGAAGGCCCTGCAGACCATCTGGTCCAATCTTTCCACATCACGAGGAGAAAAACTGAGGCTTGGGAAGAGGAAGGAACTTGCCTCGATGTGTCAAAACTAAGACTAGAGGCACTCTGATTCTCACACAGTTCCTTTCTTGATGCTATAGCGTCTCACTCTTTCCCAGGGAAAACCACTTGCAAGTGACATTCACAGGTAATCAGCACAGGCCCCTGACAGTCAAGGCAACAGGTTCAAAAGGCATTTGAGCATTGGAGGCCAAACAACACACGGGTGGGTGAGAAGGGGCAGCAAGGCTTCCGAGGCTTTTTTCTTTGTAAAAGTGGTGCTTCCAGATCCCAGCTTCCACAGGGGAGAGGGCCACCCACACTCAGGTGGGCTCTGACAGTGTCTGGCAAACAGGCACTTGCATAATCTACCCCAGTAAGTATTTCCAGGTTGTCTAGTCTCTGAGGCAGGCTCTGTAGCTGATTTATGTGAGGGGTCCCACCATGCCCCACCCAGGGCCATACACACAGCATAAGATGTTTTTTTCTTCTACTCTCTCTTTTTCAAATATTCTTTAACTGTGGTGGTAGCAGTGGTGGTGGTGGTGGCACCAACAGGAACAGGAATTAAAGCCACCATACACGGAGGACTCATAGGCGCCAGGCACCACACCAAGGCACTTTATAAACATGCCCACGTCCTAGTCATCACAACAATCTTTTCAGGTAGGTGTGCCTTTGCTCACTGCAGAGATAAGGAAACTGAGGCTCACACATGCTGAATAACTTGCACAGATGGCTACGTGGCAGCAGCAGAAAGAAAACCCAGGTCTGCCTGATTGCCAAACTCATGTTCTGTTCTGCTAGATCATGTTACCTTGGTTTTTCAAAAATAAAGTTATATCATTTTACAAAATGCAGACAGAAAAAGGGCCTGCCTCTGACTGCCAGGGTTCACCCTGGGGCTGCAGCCTGCAGAGCTGACCAACCTTGAGCACCAGGGGCTTACAGCAACAAGCCACTGACAAATGCCAGTATCAGGCAGCAGATGCTGCACTGAATTAATGAGCGAGACAGTGATGGATGGATTTTGTCAAGGCAATGTAGAGCTTGAAGCTCCAAGCTCCCCACTGCTTCTTTGCTGTCCGCGCATTGGCATAGAGGTCAGGAGACTGAACACCACAGGCCATAAAATCCCAGTGCTACACTTTCGACAAGATTCTATCAATGATCATTTGCTTCGTATTGCTCCTGTCAGCATCTACCCACTGCCCAGCTGCAGGCAGCTTTCTAGAAGACTCTTTGAACAACGGCAGTGTGCCCGGGAGAAAGAGATTCAGAGCCAGGAAGCCAGGTGAATCCTAGGTCCTCTGCTTTCTGGCTCCGAGACCTCTGGCAAGGTATTTAACCTCTTGGGCCTCAGTGTTCTCAGGTGTAAAAAGTAGATAACAGTATCTGTCCCATCTGCCTTACCAAATTGCTAGAGGACAAATGAGACAATCCATCTCCTCACAGCCGTGCATCTCCCCTTTCTTACACATAAATCTGACCATGTCATGCCCCTATATAAAACCCTTCCCAGGTTCCCAGCGAGGGAGGGTAAAGTCTAAACGACACAGTACAGCTCACAAGGCCCTTATGAGTAGGCCTCTGGTTACCTCTCAGGGCTCATTTCCTCCCTCTGCTCCTCATGAACCCTCAACCCCAAATAACATAGTTCCCTTTTCCATTCACACCACATTGCATTTTCTCTAAGAACACCATGCGATTTCAGGCTTTTATGCATGTTATTCTACTTGACTGGAATTCCCTTTCTCCCACTGTCTACCTAGCTAAATCCTTCGAGATTGCTCAGATGTCACCTCCTGGTAAAGTGACCCCTGACTTCTCAAAGCAGACCAGCTGCTCCTCCCCGGCTACTCCCACAGCATTATGCATCATGGCCTTGATCACACACGAGATGTCTATTTGTGAACTGTGCATGTGTCAGGCACTTCCGTCCCTCAGACAGCCAGCAGAGTGCCTGCCCAGTAGTGTCTCTGCCACACAGCCCACGTGCAGGGCCTGAAGCAGGGGGAAGGAGAGGAGTACAAAGGTAAGGGGCCCAGAGAAGTTGGATGATCCCAAAACAAATGTGAGTAGTGGTGTGGCCACTCCAGCCAACTGGAGACAGACACTGAGATGCACAACGTGGGCAGAAAGGGAATAGTACTACAGGAATAGAGAGTAAAGATAATAGGGTATCAAAAGCACAGGATTGTTCCAGAAACTCGAGCACAGCAAAGCACAGTGGACCAGCTACAGAGGTCAGTGCTAGGAGACAGAGTCCCACTACAGAGAAAGCAGTTCCAGCTTGTTGGTTGGGGACTTCAAGAGAAGAGGGGCACACCTGCCCAAGGGTGAGGGGTGGGGAACAGAAGCGGCTGTGGAAAGCTGTCCTGAGTCAGCACTGCTCAAATATCAGAAGGTCTGCTCTGTTCAGGCATCCAGCCTGAGGAGGCAGAGCTGCAGAAAACAATTTCCAAACCCCCAACGGCCACAGGGATGAGATCTCCCAGCAACTGTCCTGCCAGGCGAGACCCCATCAGTTCTCATGAAGGGAGGTGCACAGGGATTCCCTGGGGGCTGCATCCCACTAAATACAGGTGGATGGGGATGAGCTGGGGCAAGAACGGACTGGTAATAGATGCCTAGTGAATATATGCTGAATGTATTAATGGGTTAAATGAACGAATAACTAAACAAATAAGCAAAATTAGATTGACATGAAAATATTTGCCAAGTGTTGACGTGAGCCTTTCAGTTCTCAGCAGTACACTGTACCATTTCTAAAAACAGCTGACTGGCCCCACTGAGTGCTTATGGCCAGGCACCTGGCTAACTGCTTTGCTTGTATTATCTCATTTAAACTTATACCACATCTAAGAGATTCTTTTGTTACAACTGCCTTACAAGTGAGACAACTGGGGTCCAGAGACGTAAGGTAACTTGCCCAGTGACTTACAGCTGGTGGAGGTGCAGGATTCTTTGACACTCAGATTCAACCTTTATGTCCTCCCAACTGTTTTAACCCTTCCCGTTCACATATAGGATGGAAATAAACCGCCCACCCATCTCCTTACATCTGGCAACGCTGTGTCAATTATCAAGGGATCTTACAAGCAGGGAGGGCCCTATACTTACAGGGCCCAAACAACATCTTCCTGGGCCTAGGAGCGCCCACTTCTGGAAAGATCAAGAACCGCTCCACGCCTTTTTCTTGGGGGAAATGGCTGTAAAATGGCAACAAAGCTTTGTCCTCTGCTCTCCCCGTGGAAGCTATCACCTCACTGGCAGGGAACTCCACCAGACTGTTCAACTCTGAATCGGGAGAAATTAGGGTGAGAAAACAGAGTGGGGCGGGGTGCGAGCAGGACTCAGGGGAAAGAGCCCTGAGACGCCAAGGAGAGGAAGCCGGCTGAGGCCAGTCCCGCCACAGGCCAGGGACGGCCCTCTCCTTCCCTAGAGCGGCTGGCAGCCGGGGGGACCATCCTGCGACAGCGCGGAGCCCGCAGGGCCTGCTGATTGGTTCCCGCCCGTGCCAATGGGCTTGGGCGCCGCGGATGCTATGGCAACGAGGCACTCACGGAGGCACGTGACGGCCGAGGGAGGGGCGGCCATTCCCGGACTCCGAGGATGGATTCGAAGCCGGGGCTCCGAGCCTCACCGAGAGTCCTCGGTGGGCACAGCCGCCCCGGGTGCGTGCTGGGAGCAGCTCCACAATGGCAGGCTCCTGCCGGCCCGGGGTTACGGGGGAAGGGAATGGGAGCCTCAGTGCAGCCTTTGCTAG